AAAAAAAAAAAAAAAAAGCAATAAACTAAAAATAGGACATGGGGGGAAAAAAACTACGTTTGTCTTGCTTCATCCTTCAGAATGAAATAGCAAATCCCAAGTAAAATACATGGCAAGTTATTAAAATTATCTCACAAACTCTGAGAAAATAAAAGATTCAGTAATGAAAAAACAAATTTTATTCTTTTTAAACTAGAAGCAGTAACAGGAAGCCCAGTGATTCAGTATTTAAAGCACTCAGCTGCTAACCAAAAGATTGGTGGTTAAAACCCACCAGCCAATCCACAGAAGAAAAGATGTGGCAATTTGCTTCTGTAAAGGATTACAACCTTAAAAACCCTATAAGGGTTGTCCTTGACAACAATGAGTTTTTGTTTATCAATCAGTGACCACCACATCATCCTCATAACATACTTGCTATAATTTTTTTTTTAAGTTTGAGCATCTTGTCAAGGTAAATCATAGTGATGAAACATGATACAGGAATATGACAGTGACCTTTAACCCAGACATAGTCAAAATAAATAAACGAATAAAAGGGTATCAAATATGTACCTATATAAGAAACTTTTTTGCCACAAGGCATCAAATGCTTATTAAATATCTAGTTCATATCTGACACTAGATAAAAGCAACATCAGTTATTTTATAGGATGTCAAGGAAAGCAATGAATATTATTGAATTTTCAACTCAATAGAGTTGCTTTCACATACCTTTTCTCATTTAATCCTCATAAAAATCAGGTGTCAAACTTATTATAATCTCCACTTTACAAAATGAGGTAACTAACGCTTAAAAGATTAATAAATTTTGCCTCTTATTAGCTGAGTTAGGAAAGATTACACCTAAAACTTGCTAGATTTTCTATGTACAATAAAATTCCTAATGTGAACGCTACAATTAAGTTTTAAAAAAAAGTTGAAATCTAACTTGATAATCTCCATCTTAATAAAACAAACAAAATTGATAATGTGAAAAAAATGTTGTTCTTAGGTGCTGTCAAGTTGGTTCCAACTCATAGCAACCCTATGTACAATGAACCAAATACTGCCCGGTCCTTCCTCATCCTCACAAATGCTGTTACACTTGAGCCCATTGGTGCTGCTGCCACTGTGCCATTTCATCTCCTTAGGGGACTTCCTCTTTTTCACTGACCCTGCCACTTTATTAAGCATGATGTCTTTCCCTAAGGATTGGCCCCTCCTGATAATATGTTCAAAGTATGAGAGACGAACTCTTGCCATCCTGGTTCTAAGGAGCATTCTGGCTGACCTTTCAACACAGATTTTTTTATTCTTCTAACAGTCCATAGTACTTTTAATATTCTTCAATACCATAATTCAAATGCATCAGATTTTCAACTTATTCACTGTATAAGAATAAGGTCTTCATTATTCACTGTATAACTTCCACATGCATATAAGGCAATTGAAAATACCATGGCTTGAGTCAGGCACACCTTACTCCTCAAACTGTGATCTTTGTTCTTGAACACTGTAAAGAGGATTTTTTGCAACAGATTTGCCTAATACATCATTTGATTTCTTGACTTCTGCTTCCATGAGTGTTGACAGTGGATATAAACAAAACAAAGTCTTTGACAACTTGGATCTTTTCTCCAATTATCATGTTGTTATTTATTGGTTCAGTTATGAGGATTTTTTTTTCTTCATTATAATGAGGTACAATCCATACTGAATGATTTTTTCATCTTCTTCAGTAGATATTTTAAGTCCTCTTCACTTCCAGCAACCAAGAATGCATCAACTACATATTGCATGTTGTTACTTAGTTGTCCTCCAATCCTGATGTCATGTTCTTCTTCATATACTGCAGCTTCTCAGATTATTTGCTCAGCATACAGACTGAATAAGTATGGTGAAAGGACACAACGCTGAACATACCTTTCCTGATTTTAAACCATTCAGTGTCCTCCTATTCTGCTCTAGTGACTGCCTCTTGGTCTATGTACAGCTTCCTCATGAGCACAATTAACTGTTCTGTAATATTCATTCCTCACAATGTTATCCATAGTTTGTCATAGTAAAAAATACCATCCAAAAAATACTGAAACTTACTTTATTTCTCCTTTTAGAAAACTGTCCTCAGAAAACAATCCAAATTACAGAAATAACTGTACATATATACATATTTATAATGAGATTATTTTTAATAGCATCAAAACAGGATGAAAAGTTAAATAAATTATACAACCATGAAGCTACTAAAAATATCCTTTATAGTTCACTTTCCATGTTCTTTCTACTGAGCATACATTAATTTCACTGGAGCCCTGGTAGTGTAGTGGTTACGTGTTGGGCTGCTAACCTCAAGGTCAGCAATTTGAATCTACCAGCCACTCCTTGGGAAAACGGTGAGATTTTCTACACCCACAAAGATCTACTGCCTAGGAAGTGCTATACAGGGTCACTATGAGTTGGAACCAACTCAGTGCCACACCACTACCATCATATTAATTTCAAAGCAAATTTTAAAAATTCAACAACCCATTTATATAAATATTTGGTATTGCAGTTGTTAATGTAGATTTCATAGGGACTTCTGGGACAATATTTTTTAGCTTATGTTATATTGTCTTAAGTGCAAAAAAATGTTCATTTAGAGAAAACATTAAATTCAGTTATCTTCTTGGTTCTAAGAGGACTTTTTCTCACTAGTATACAACTATTATATAAAGAAATAAAGTGAACTAAATGAATTAGTATTATTTTGAAGCTTATGAAAAATCTTTCTACTATGATTACTTTGTGCCTTTGGGTTTTAATTTCTTTACGTCTTCATCTGGTTTCTCTTTTTTCGGCTTTTTAATTTCCCTCGGAATGATGTCATCAAAAGGATTAAACAAAACCTACAAAAAGAAGAATTTTGAAAACATTATTCCATTTTTTTAATTTTGTGAAAAATTACAACCAGTATTTAATTGTGCTGATCTTAGCATAGACATTTCCCCACATAACCTTTATTTGTAAAGTGATAAATACATTTATTGTATAATATGCTTCCACTTTTACAGTCTCAAGGGATCGTCCCAATAATTCTATGTGTTACTAAGTAAGAACGATTTTATCCCTATTTTACAAAAGGGAAAAATATTCAAGAAAAGTTAAACAAAACATAGTAAGAAACACAGTGTTTTGACTTCAAATCAAATTGCATTAAGGACATGGCTTCCTCAATGAGGAATCACTCGTAAATTAGCTATCAAGTCAGTTGCCTGAGCTAAATAAACCTAATTCTTCTAATTCTCCATATTTATTCATGTGATTATTAGCTCTAGTTTCATATTTGAATTCAAACCTTGCAAAAAAAATTTTCCTAAGCAGAAATTGTATCTAAATAAATCACATAGATAAAATCTGAATTGTATTCTTAATTTGCATAAATAAAGCCTTCATCCATTGGTGTGGAAACATGAGGAGGCTTCAAAAAATTCATGGAAAAATGTAAATGAAAGATAATGGGATTTTTCCTCAACTCTTTGAAGCCCACTTGTACTAAGAATCGGCTCCTCTTAAGTAAGTGCTGCATCTCATACTTCTCAAGCTCCTACCTCACAGTTTTTTATCTTGTGTGGGTTACGTGGTCTTTCTTCATCATCAATGTCCACTTCAGTAAGTCGCAGCATGTTGTAGACAGTATCTCCTGTCACCTATCACACGACGAAGAATGAGTAAGTGCAAACAATATTACATTCCTCCTTTGAATTAAGAACTTTTAAAAACATTTTTAAATTAGAGAAGAATATATTATTCTGTAAGAATTTTGTTGTGTTGTGAAGTGCCATCGAGTCGGTTCCGACCCATAGCGACCCTGTACAGGGTTTCCAAGGGTGTAAATCTTTACGGGAGTAGAAAGCCTCATCTTTCTCCCGTGGAGCGGCTGGTAGTTTCGAACTGCTGACCTTAAGGTTCGCAGCCCGATTCGTAACCACTACGCTACCAGAGCTCCTTGCTGTAAGAATATACGCATCTAATAATTTAAATAAAACACCTTCATCTTAAGGAGGTAAAAGCATGGATGAAAGGAACCCAAGTATTCAATTAGCTTTTTGAGAATTATCTGATATGCCCTTAATAGCATTTTTATTAACATCCTACTGAATGACAACTTTTTATTCAAATACCAAATAATTTAGACTTCGGACTCGGGTTGTTGTTGTTGTTAAGTGCCATTGAGTTGGTTCCGACCCCTAGCAACCCTGCATAGGCTTTCAGGGTAGAATAAGCAAATAACAAAAATAACAGTAACAATGTTATATGAGTGTTTTAGCTAGCATTGCTGTCCCTTCTAACTTATACCGCTCTGCTACACTTTGACTCTAATGTGTAAATCATTGAGTAACAACAACAACAAAAAAAGTGATATTCAATGGCACCATATTATTGAACTCTCTTATTTAAAAAAAAACAAAAACAGGGCACTTCTATGGAAATCAGATTAGCTATGGTGGAACAGCCAAGAAGGACATGCCAATACAAATTTCTTAACCCATGTTGTTAAATATTAAGCAACAATATTGCAATTCTAGTGTAATTCCTTTCAGTCATAATTTCTGGGAAAAGTTTTTAAACACCAGTTTTCCAAATGTGCTAATTTTATTTCTTTCCATCATTACAAAATCCAGTTTCCCTGTTGCTGTTCTTAAGTGCTGTTGAATCATCTGACTCATAGTGACCCTGCATAGGGTTTCCAAAGAGCATCTGGTGGGTTTGAACCGCTAACCTTGTGATTACAGGTCAGTGTTGATCTTACAGCATCACATGAAGGGCTCCATAGCCAGTTTGGCTAGATTATGGGAAAACCATTCTTAGCGAGCCAGCAGAGGGAGCTAATACATTAGTAAAATCTAAATTACTTAAGACTTAAAATACATAAAATACATTTTGGGAAGGAAGAAAAGTGAGTCTCTTTTTATGAAAACTGTTAAAATCTCTATTGAAAGAACCTTCCCTGATATGACATTCGGTTTGAAAAAGATGAAAATGCCATGGAATACATCTCTACTCTGAACATACGGAAATGCCATGAGTCAGGATCAACTTGATTGGTTTGCATTTTGATTTTTATACAAAGTATCTCCAGTAAAAAATTTCAGTATCAACACAATGCCCACTATATATTCAAGGGAATTCATGATTTATGTAGCATCATTTTTGGAAATAATAAACATTTTAAGGAATATTTTTATAAATGCAGCCATTAGGTAAATTGATTATGTAGGTCATGGAAGCTTAGGAATAATGTAATAAACTTATCCAGAGGCTGAAGATTACTAGCACTAACCTTTCCAAAGATGGTATGCTTATTGTTAAGTTCATCTGCTCGAGCCAGTGTAAAGAAAAACTGGCTGCCATTATCATGAGGACCAGCATTTGCCATAGCAACCAGTCCTCTCCGATTAAAACGCAACCGTGAGTGAAATTCATCCTGAAGAATAAAAAGAAAATGTTAATGAATGAATTCAGTTATACTTGTTAAGTGCCTTTGAGCTGTTTCCGACCCATAGCAACCCTATATAGGGTTTCCAAGGAGCAGCTGATAAGCTTAAACTGTCGACCTTGTGGTTCAAAGTGACTTTGCAGTCCAGCACATTAACCCACAGTGCCACACCAGGACTCCTCAGTTAAGACCCTTCATATTTCATTAGTTGTTCATCTGACCGGCAAGGTCCCAAACAACTTCTAATAAAAACTGAAGTACTATTCTGTAACTGATTTTCAAGTATAATCAAATCCAAGATTTACTGTCTCTTCAATGTTATTAGATTTGACTTAACTAGTATGTGCTAAGCATACTTATTTTTAGTTAATTTAACCTATTTTTATGGAAAGTTGATGACTTACAAAAAGGAAATGTATTTCTAAGAACCATTTCCCTATACTTTCCATTCCTCAAAGTCATCTAAAATTTGGAGAGCTTTCTATTATTTCTCTAAGAAACTCATCTTCAAATCACTGGGGAGTACTCAACCACTGTTCCTTCCAATCTCAATTTAAATTGTCATAAACAATTGTGTCCTTCTTGCTTTTTAATTTAAGAAACCTACTACGATGTGTTATATAACTATACTATGTTTCTTTAAGTTCTACTTTGAATCTTCTCTGAACTAGCCCTTTCTCCATTTGCTAGTTTTTAAAAGAGCAGAAATAGCCTTTCGAAGTGACTTTCTTGATATGGAAGCCTTGGCTGCTACCCAAAAGGTCAACAGTTTGAATCCTCCAAACACTTCACAGAAGAAAGATGTTACAGTTAGCTTCCACAAAGATATCAACCTTGGAAACCCTAAGACACACTTCTACCGTATCCTATGTTGTTTTTTTAGTTGCCATCAAGTTGGTTCTGACCTATAGTGACACTATGCACAACTGACCAAAACAAAACACCATTCTTACAATTATTGTTACATTTGAGCCCATTGTTGTTGTTACCATGTCAATCCATCTTATTGGGGTCTTCCTCTTTTATGCTGACCCTCCACTTTACCAGAGATGAGTCCTTCATGATAACATGTCTTAAGTGGTGGTGGTGGTGTGTCGTGGAGTCGGTTCTGACATACAGTGACCCTGTAAAGGGTTTCCGAGGTTATAACTCCCTATGGAAGCAGAAAGCCTTATCTTTCTCTTGTGGAACCACCGATAGTTTCAAACTAGCTGACCTTGGGGTCATAACCACTATACTACCAGAGCTCCTTCTGGTAGCATAGTGGTTACAAACTGGGCCATGATACTACTGGTACCATCAAATTAATAAAAACAACTTTCAGCTTTGACTGTTTTTTTTTAAATATATAATTTATGACATTATCTCTGTTTTCTTCTTAAATCTATGTTGGGAGTTAAATAATCAAAGACTTAATTCGTGATTAACATACCTTTTCCTTAATTTTTTTTTTTTTTTTTAATGTTGCTTCTTTCTTCTGTTTACCATTTAATTTCTGTTCTGGTATGCTTCTTGCTACAGTGGTCCATTGTGTATAATTTAGAATGAATTACACATAGTATTTAAATAAAATGTTTTAAAATAAGAGAACATATGCAAAGTTCTGAAAATTCACCTTAGCAAAGTAGTAGAGATTAGATACAGTCAGACATGGGGAAGTATGCTATAATCATCTCATTTCTAACTTACCTTTTCCTCATACTCACACTCTACCCGAAGTCAATCTAGCATACAAGTCTATCATAAGACAACTGAACAACCCAAAAAATGTTTGATAAGCATTTCTGTGTAATCTTAAATATGTGACAGGCATCTGATTTTGTGTGCTAATATGAACTGCTTTTTCTTCTTACGGGAATCCTTTCTGAGTACATAATTCAAGTTTAATTGCAAAATAAATAATAATAAAAATTGAGTCTCACCTTGAATGGGGCCCCATAGATAGAATCTCCGCCAGCCCCTGTACCAGTAGGATCTCCCCCTTGGACTATAAAACCAGGCACAACTCTATGAAAAATGGTGTTGTCATAATAAGCTGAAAAAAATTTAAAACAAGTCATTAATATTGCATCTATAGTTATCAGAGCTAATGTAAATAGAGTCACAAGGTATTTTTTTCCAGAAAGTTAATAATCTCCCAAACTGAAAGTTGTTCTTTCCTACTCAGTAATAAACTATGCACACAAAACAGCACATATTTCTACAGAAAGTATGACTGTTGTTTTGTTTGTTTCTATTTCCAAGAGTCTTTCAAACTCTGGGTTACAGTTTACAAAATAACTATTAGAGGGTTAGGTATAAATCAGTGGTTTCAACAACAGGGAGAGAGACAGTTGTGTCCTCCAGGAAAAATTAACCCCTGAAACTGTCCTGTGTCCCATCAAAATGACCCCTTGGGAATCCCAAAAAAATATTCACCATAACCTCCTGAGATGACTTTTTTGCCTTGAAATTTAACTGAGCCAGCAAATCCCCTTGTTGATTTGGACTTCTTTTTTAAGGTATCCAAATGAGACTAAGTTCAATGTATTACTACTGAGGGAACTCATCTAGAGCCATCAACTGATCTAAACA